ACAACAACTACACTGTTAACAAGCTTGCTACACTTCTTGGCTTTGTATTTAGGTGTACGGTAAATGGACTGGGGCTCAGGCAAGATGTATGGCTAATTCGGACAACTTGACTTTTTACCCATTAAAGAAATCAATCAAAACTCACAATAGGAGGACAGAGGTTAACAAGGGCAGCACAAACTCGAATTATCTTGTCAATCAGTGGGGCTTTGCTCTTGTCCTCACATGCTAAGTAGTCAGTTGACAGAGTACTTTGTAAGACTGTGTTCTTGTCTCAGAATTCCAATAACTCTCTCCACATGAATTCTGACATTGGCGATTTTACGTGTCTTTTCTACATTGATTGGATCCAGCTGTTGTTTGCCCCTGATAAATGCAGGGACGTTCAGTTCTGCCTGGTGAAACCACACCTGCTCGTGGACAGTGAAACCTCTGTCTGCAAGGACAAGATCCCCAGGAAGTAAATTTTTTAAAAAGCCACAGTTCTCTGTAAGAAATTTGTCTGATGTCGCGCCGGCGTCGCTTACAAATGATATTGTTCCTTGTGGTGTTATCCCAATCAACACTTTCGCAGTGTTATGGTGTTTGTAGTTTGAAAACGTCTGTGCTCTTGCTAAAAGATTGGATGACCTATCAATAAATATCTCGAAACAATTAATGATCACACTTGTCTTTACACCAAAAGAATCAATGAAACATTTTGGCATTGTTCTTTGAAGCTGTTCACCACTTGGCCAGGAAATTAAAGGAGATAAACGAACATCCATGACAGTTAACCAGGTGACAATAATGCGAGAAACAACAGTTCTAGAAACATCAAAACGATAAAAAGATAAAGATATAAAGATCTTGGTGTGGGACGGCCAGCCGTAGTTTTATCAGCACCAGAACAAACTCCTGAAATTTACTCAATGGCAGGGAGTGTCTGTTGACATGTGGAGATACAAAGGAGAATGTTTTCATTAAAACTTCCCTCGAGGGTATCCCAGTGTAAAAGCGAACTTTACCGTCATCTCCCTTAAAAAATTCCTGTTCAAATACGGTGGATTTTTCTGGCATCCAAGGTTTAGGCGTTCGAAACATGTAATCACACTGCTCGGTTTGCGTTGACCGTGATTGCATGAGTTCGCTTGGCTCAGTTTGCATGGCCATATTGTTCTCCTCTTCCTCCTCATCTGGAACGTCTGTCAAATCTTCTCCATCTTGAACCGTGAAAGAAATATCCCTGATTCTATCGCCATGGGCTTCTGATTCATCTTCCCTAGACATTTTTTCTTTAACAGCCTGATCCTGTTCTTCACGCTCCCTCTCGAGTTTACGTCTTTCTCTTATTCTCTGGGCTCTTTCTTGTTGTTTCTCTTGTTGGTCTGAACTCTTTAACTTGCTGTGGCCCAAATGCAAGCAAGGCACCCAGGCTAGATTGAATTTATCCCAGAGGGAAGGTGCTTTTCCAGAGTGAAAATGAATTCCACAAACACGGTCGTTCTCGAGCTTGCTTTCTGTCAAGTCATCACGACTTATGGCCGCTAATCATCTAGTTCGCCGGTCATTTGACAAAATTTCCGTCTGCTCGCCTTGACTAGTAATAACTTTAGGCACCCTACAAAAACTAAGGTTTGGACGTCTCTTTTTATCGTAGGAACATCCAATGATCAGACAAAACGAAGGCATCGCTAGAAGACGCGAGGAGTCGCGTGACAGATTTCACTCCTCCAATATGGCGGAACCAAGTTTTCAGCTACGCCATAGTCATGTGACCGCACAGACACTATAATAGTTCTCCTGTTTCCTAATGTCCTTTGGTAAAATGTTCCAGATTCTAGGGGCGGCTACTTTGAAAGTCCTGTCTCCAAGTGTCTTCTTTGATCGTGCACTATAATCCTCGAGTAACATCTCCCCGTCTGATCTAAGAATATATCTGGTGGTACTCTTAACTTTTATTAGATCCTTAAGGTATTCGGGTGCGTTGCCATAGATACACTTATGGGCAAGCATTGCTATCTTAAAATTTACCCTATATGTTACTGGAAGGCTCTGCATCCACAGTCGTTGGGGGGTTGGCTCCATGGATTTTATCCATGGTCTTCTGATCTCTGAAGATGACCTCGATGATGACGATAATGCTGACTGTTTTGCTAACCAATAATTTTTACTAATATATGTTTAGAAGCTACAGTAAAAGCTTTTTCTTCTCATCTTAGAAGGTCTGAGTGAATCATACGAATAACTGTTTTTGTGGGAAATGATATTACCTTTGCTGAGCACTTCGTTATATTCTTTGACTTGTGCCAAACATCTGAACTGTGGAACACTCTTTGAAACCCATCAGCTACAAGAAAAACTGAAAAACGCTTTTTCATTTCTGGTTAGAATGGAAATAAGTCAGTGTAAGAGCCATTAAGTTATACCAAGTATAAGGCAAGAAGTTCATGCGTCTTTCTTTTTTTTTTTGTGCATGGATACACAGTAAAAAGACCAAAATAAGGGACAAAATTGTAGC